ACACACATTCGTGTGTCATGATTGTATTTCGTAAATTATTGTTATATATATATATATATATATTGTAGATTGACAAATAATCAAACTAAATCACATTTAATGCCTCATAATACTAAATATATATATCATATTATATACAAACAATCCATTTGCATACAATATATTCACATTAAGTTACAAACATAATATCCATCACCTATGGCTATTTGAAAACAAAAAACCAAGAATGTTCTCAAATTATCACAAGAAGATACTAACATATTATAAGATCTTAGATGCAACTCCTCTAGCTTCTTCTGCAATTTTGAAGTTGCTTCTTCAGAGTCGAGAACTCTTGAAACAGGCTGCGAATGAGCATTGGCTTCAACTGAACTAGTAGGAACATTAGATGCACCAGCTGTTCCCAAACCCTTCCCAAAATTATAGCACAAAATCCATTCTACCTGCAGGTTTCTTTGATTTGGATCCAATAAATCTGTTATTTGCTCATTGTATATCTACAAAAGAAAATTGAAAATGAAGTGATAAGGAACAAGAATAGTACAACGCTAAGCAGTCCAAATATGTCAAAACTAAGAATCAAAATAATTCAATTATGTTTATCAGCATGCTTAATTCACAACTTCTAAACGGGAAATATAATACAACTCAAATACCCAGCTTGGCACATAGAACTCCAATTACAATCCCTCTAAGGCGGGAAAGACGGACAATAATGCATAAAGTATGGAAACATGAATTATTCAATCGCACTGATTTAGCAAATTAGATTAGTAAATTACATACCGATCAGTTGATAACCACAAAAGTCACATATAAGTTAAATGTCCTCGGGAATAAACTATTAATAGTAATTTAACTTTGAAATAGGCTTGCGATGCTATATGCATGAAAAATAGAATACACAAAGGATATCATAAAGGCAAAAACAAGAAATTCATAGATCAGTTAAAAGTATAGCATCAGAGCCCCAAACAAAGAGAACTAATTAACAACACAAAAAATATTAGGAACAAAAGGCATATTGACAGTGGAACTTACATTTTATTAAAGAACGTTTCCAATAATACTGAGAATTAAGCTTATTGATTACAAATAATAATGCATTAATGCTTACCTTTGGGACAGGAACTTCCCATGTTGCCACTGCCTTCAAGTCTAAAAATAAAATTAACAACCAAAAAATTCAATTCTATAAAACAATTACACTAACTTTCATCATCATGGGTAGTCAAATTACATGCATTTCATCTTCAAGAGAAATGTTAAACTATATGCTTATATTTACCCGCAATTCAGTTGCTCTATACAAGATTGTTTCTCTCAATTCCAGCATCTCATCATCGGTAAACCATAACGGATTCCCAAAAGTGGTGGGAAGTATATCAAGATACCTGAACCAGTCTTTAAATCCACATAAATAATAAATAAAAGAAAACAATCAAATATGTTAAGTACATAAGGTTTCCACAAAGAATTCTTTCGGAGACGTTCCACAGTAAGAAGTCTTTAAATCCGTTGTTCGTTGAAAGAGAGGGAACTGAAATGTAAAGAGTTGGAGTAAAATTAAGTTTGGTTCGGTAACGGATAATCCTGCAAAATATTACATGGCACTGCAAATCAACAATCTTCACCTGCTACCACTTCGATATATCTAAGCAGTTTTTGGCTTCACGACAAAGATTTTATTTTGCACACAATATTTTAAACTAATATGCCCTTACCATCCGGGCGTGTACACAAGAAATCAGTGGATCGACCGAGAAGCTCCTACAAAGAAGAAAAAAATACTTGCTTCATATATATGACAATAGTTGGCAGAATCAAAGAAAATGGTAAGTACAAACAAAAAGCATCCATCAACTAATACAAAACAAATATTGACAACCTGCAACAATCCTAAAAATATTTTAGACATTATTTGGAAATAACAAAAAATAAGTAGTACAGGACAAAGAAAGGATAAACAATACAATTGAATATTTATCTTTTTTTCACAATTAAAATATTATATTCTTCAGCATGCAGAAACTCTATGAAATTGCTAGACTGGGTATCAAACTTCTATAATGTGATGGTACCTGTCCTGGAGCATCATAATATATACAGAAAATAAGTTTAAAAATATTAATAATCCTCTAATATCAATAGACATGAGAACGTTCTAGCACGGTGACATTAAATTTCACCTAAAGATAGCAAGTATAATATTTATGCCTAGGCGGTTTAGGAAAAAACAACACCAACCAGAAAAGGTGAATGTGGATTCACAGAAAGTCAAGATAGATTACCTTATGTCTCGATTCTGGATGTGATTTGGAATCAAAGTTTCATCATGCATATCATTCCCATAATCATAACTTGACAGCATAGATGACAAAAATAGTTGCAAAATATGACTACCAAGAATTTTAGCAAACATAAAGGCAAGAGTAATTCACTCGAAGAAGACAACCAGGAAAGGGAAGTTCCACCACCAAAAACCGAGCATGATTCATGTATTACCTCAAAAGTAATGAACCCACAAAGGGCCTGAATTCTGTTATGGCCAAAGCCATCTCAGGTTTATGATTAGCATCCTTATAGAGATTTCGTTTCAACTTATGCAATTCTTTGGCCAATTCTTTATCCGGATGTGCCTGTCTTGAAAAGGGTTTTGCCAATGAAAGTACCTATATTAAAGCATATGAAACACAGAATCAGTCCACAACTGTATACACCATACCAATATTTCTTGAGTTGTGAAATCTTGAACGTTTTTTATGGATTCAAAGCTATATATATGAGAATGAGGTTATGTTTCTTTCAAATATAACCCATTCTAATTATATAAGTAGTTTCAGCATAGAAAATGGCTGATTCAACCATCATCCAGGCTTCCCTTATCATCCTACTTGTTTTATCGGCAAGTGCACAATGCATAAAACACTGATTGATATGGTTCTAGCCATTACCATTAAAATGAAAAAGAAAACTCATTAACCCAATTCCAAACACATGCACACAAAAATCAAAATTAAATTTCCCAGTAATCAAAGGAAATGAGAGGAAAAAAAAGAAATTCCCAAAAAGAAAGTAGAGAAATACGTGTAAAAGAAAAGAACAAACCTTGAACAGAAAAGAAAGATCAGGCCCCTATTTTTTCAAAACCTTGTGACCAAGCACATTCAGATTCTTCAAAATCCAATCTTTTAAACCCAAACTCCCACATTCTCCATTATCATCAGCCATAAAACTTGGCTATGAGTCATGGGTTCCCATCCAAAACTCAGCATATGGCCTATCAGGCTCAATCTCAGACCCAGAATTCAAAGCCAAAAGCCTCACCACCTATGCCTCTGTCCCACATCTTCCCCAATCGTAGTTTTAAACCTAATCTCTTAGCCGCTTCACCTTCTCGACATTAGCCTTTGCCATTGTAGAACAGAACCCCCAGAAACAAAACAAAGGAAACTGATTTTGAAGAAAAATGAGATGAGAAGAGAAGAGAAAGGGTTACGAGAGAATGCTAATGCGGTAGGGAGGGGGCATTTTTGCTGGTATTTGAAAAGTTTGAAAGTGTACGTAGAGAGAGGGAAACAGACTAGAAAAAGAGACCGAAAAGAAGTGAAGATGAAAAATTATGGGGGGAAAATTAAAAGACGACCTTTAGAGATGACACACAATGAAAAGTGTATTCCGTGTATTTGCTAAATTTTTTAGATTATGACTATTAAATATGACACACATTATTGTAAGTCATAAATTTTTAATATTTTAAGAAACATGACATTTTTTTTATGACACACATGTTTTGCAAGTCATAAATTAGCATGTGTCATCGTTCGTGTGTCATTAAAGGTATATTTTCTTGTAGTGGATACAACTAAAAATGTATTATCTACTATAATTGATTTTATAATGAATTTTTAATTAATTAAATTAGTTATGTAATGATAAACACTAATAAGGATAATATTAGTGTATAAATTTTCGTCACTATTATTAATTTTTTGTGTGCCAAAAAATGTAGTCACAAAAAATACAAGTAATTATGACAAAATTCATTAAAGTTGTCACTAATAAAATAGTGACATAGTTATTGCTAACAGTGTCAAACATTTGGTCACAAAAAAAATACTTAGTGTGACGACATTAGTGGTCACAAAATATACTTTCACTGTCAAACAAATTTATCATAATTTTTATTGATAATAGTATCAAACATTTAGTTACTAAAAAAATACTTAGAATGTCAATATTGATGGTCACAAAATATATTTAGTGTCAAACAAATTCATTACAATTTATATTGACAATTGTGTCAAATAGATGGTCACAAAAGTAATGAACAGTGATAATTTTCTAAAAATTGTCACTGATATAATAGTGACGGAGTTATTACTAACAATAAGTGACGACTTAATTTTGTCATTATGCATTTTAGTGTCTGAATTTAATACTTTTAGTGACTATTTGCATTGTCACTAAAAGTGTATTTCCTTATAGTGATGTTCCCCACTGCATAAGACTTTTTATTTGGATCGCCTTCAAAGATAGACTCTTGACCAATGCTGAGAGATTTCGTCGCTCACTTACACATGTTGCTACCTGTAATCTTTGTGGGGCTGCTAACAAAACTGTCCTTCATACTCTCTAAGACTGTAGGAATGCTCATGATATTTGGAACATTTTACCTATATTGATCTCCCATGATCTTTTCACTGTGAAACACAAGGACTGGTTGTTGAACAATATAAACTCAATCAAAAGCTACCCCGGCTCTACTGCTAGACGAAATATTATCTTTAATGCTACTTGTTGGCACATAAGGAAATCTCGTAATGACCAGATTTTTGCTAAATCTCTTTACGACGCTTCTTCTATTGTTCATCGTATCCTGTGGTCTAGTCATTATGGATCTTATCGGATTGTTACCTCAAAGCAATCACCTATGAATCTCAACCCAACGTCTATACAATAGACCCTTCCGCCTCTTTGTTGGATAGCTCTTAATATAGATGGATCAGTCTGTCCAAACACTGGAACTGCCTCCATTGATGGCCTGTTACGTGACAATTACGGTTCCTGGCTATGTGGCTTTAATCATGCAATTAGAGTCTCAACTCCTCTTCAAGTTGAACTCTAGGTCATATATGATGGTCTCTACCTTGCTTGGAATCTTGGTTTTGAATTTGTGCATGTTCAATCCGACTATTTGCGAACTAGAGCGGCCATCAATGACACTGTTAGTACGGCCAATTCTTTTCCCCTTGTTTGTGCCATTTTTTTACTTCAACAGCGAAGTTGGGTCATTGATTTCATTTGGATTCACAGAGAAGCAAATTATCCTGCTGATGCTCTAGGGAAAAATTCGTCTTCAACTAACTTCGATATGCTTCAACTTGACTCACCCCCAAACTATATCAAACATCTCATATGTCAAGACATTGATGGACTTCCTTATTGTGTAATCAGAAGGGTCTACCTTTTTTTCGTGTTTTCCAATTTTCATTAAAAAAATCAACTAAGACTCTGATTTGAATAATATATCAAATAAAATCTCATATAAAAGTATGTGATTAAATGAGCTTTATTTAAAAATTTATAGATTAAATGAGCCCTTATTTAAAAAAATATAAAGGAAAGTGTTGGGATTTGAAGCTCAAAGAAATCAACTGAAATAGTTGCCAAGAGGGGGTGAATTGGCCTTTTGTAATTTTTTGGGAATTGAGGAGAAAGGATAAGAAAAATTGACTTAAAGATTTATAGTGGTTCAACTTCCTCAATGAAGTCTACATCCATTACCTTAGCTCCTCACTAAGGATTTCTAACAAATTCACTAATTTGTTCTTTCTTTCTTTAGGCTGAAGAGTATCATTTACAAATTCTCTATCTTTTATAATGGCTAAGATAGAACCAAAATCCCTTTTACAAAAGGATGAAGAAATGTAAACAAGAAAACCTCCAAAAGGTAAGTGTTTACAAATTAAGCTCACAAAAACACTCTATGTACCATATAAAAGGAAAAATAAGATTGAAAGAGCTTTTCTCTAGATATGTATTGCTTAGATAGGTGTTGTAACCTTCTTCAAGTGTCATCAACTTGTTTTTATATGATGAAATGAGTTTGTAGTCGTTTCTAATTGTTGGTGATGTTTTGGAGCTGTTAGAACCCTTAATTTTCAACATTAAATGTAACCCCCAATTTAGGGGCTAAATTTTAGAATTATAAAGTGGTGGATTTAATTGGTATTTTGGGAAGAAATTTGAGGAGTAAATTGAAAATTTTCAAAGTTGGTAGACCGTTTTAAGAAGTGCAGGAAATTCAGTGGCTAAACTCATGATTTGACCATTTTTCTTTAGGAGAAAATATAAACCTCATTTCCCGTATGTTTCAACAGAAAAGTCCCAGTTTTCTTGTAGCCCCCCAGACCTGGTCTGTAAGTTAGACCCAAACCTAAGTGGTCACATATCCCATTCAGAGGTTTTTTTTATATCTTACAATACATTATATTAATACAAACCAAAATATTAATAATACAGATATATCCAAAACGATAGCAAATACATGTCACCAGATACAACGGAAAACATGTAGAGATATATGTTCGTACAAAATAAGTAGTTGATCTCTCCTGATGCCAAATCTGCAAGCTTATGTCTGCTGTTATCTGAAAAAGGTAAAAACTACAGAATGAGCTAAAAAGCTCAGTGTGCTCCATACAATGTATAAAAACATATTAACAAAATATTTTAGTAAAATTTGTTTATGCAATATGTTTTGAAAACATGAACACTACCCCCATCCTTTCACAATCTGTTTGTGTAGGTTCCCCAGAACCATACACCTCGCACAACCAGTAAGGCCCTGAGCACACAGCCGAGGAGCCTGCAGATAATCTTCCTCCAATAATATTCCCCCCAATGATAATAATGAACATGAATGTATGCGCGTAAAACAATGAATAATTCTTTAAAAACATAAGAATGTTTCAAGCTTGAAAACCATAAAAATACAGAAATCAAAAATCAAATTAGTAATGTATGGTAATTCAGATGTTGGGTAATCAGTATTCAGAAAACGATATAAAATACCGTAACCAGAAATCATATCAGAAATATACAGTAAATCAGAAATCAGATACACAATATTCAGATATTTATATACTTTAAAACAATAATATAACACTATCAGGAAACACACCTGTAACAGTATGAGAAATCAGATAGGGAAGCCTATCACTGGGTTTGTCGATCACGCTCTACTGCATCGCTAGATCATACGAATTGGAAAAATCCATATTGGAATCCTAATATAAATAATCTTTATTTAAATAATATACGGAAACCTACGGGTAATTCTTGTAGTACGCGATTCAAGCTGATCTGACGAACGAACAACTCCAGACCTAACTAATCCTCGTTCAGGTGAAACACGGGTACCTTCATAAAATATTTTATTGAATCAATTCCTTAACTAATTCTCAAATAAATAATCAAAATACTAAAATACTAAGCATTTTTGGGTTCACATGCTTGATTCGGGGATTTCGGGTCAGAATTTGACAAAACGGACTTCGGAATCAGATTCAGGACATCGAAAAACATAAAGTATGACCTTTTTCAAATTAAATTCCCAAAATAACACCTATTTCGAATTAATTCCCAAAATGTCACCCGGTCAACGGTCAACGGGTCGGTCAACGGGTCGGGTCGGAACCGGTCAAACCCTTTGAAAAACCGGTTATTTTAGCATTCCCCACGCGCAGTGGCGGCGCGTGGGGGCGCGTGAGGACTCTTCTGGCTGCGTAAAATTCACGGAAAATTTTCTAAAAATTATTTTGAGCGATTTCGAGATACTTACAAAGATCGGTTCAAATTTTTGAATGGCGGAGAGCTCGATTTCATCAAATCGGAAACTTTGACCGCTTAACCACCACACACGCCGTCGTCGACGAAGAAAAAGGACACCGGTGGAATTGGAACGACACAAGAAACACGATGGTGCCGGAGGTGTCGTAAACGGAACAACGATCGACGATGAATTTAAGATTTTCTCAGCGATTGAGCTAAAAAAAGGTCGAGGCTTTGACTGGAAATTTCCGACGTTTGGCAGTGTTTCGATTCAATTAATTTAAGGGAATTGTTCCTCATTCGATAACGAACACGATGGTGGTTTCAAAACGACGATCGGAATTCGGACGGCGTCGGGATCGTGGTTGGAAAATGGGCTCTGGGAAGGGAATTTGGGATTAATTGGTTTATGATTTTCAGAAACCAATTCACGCATATAATACCACATACCTAACATTTTAGGATAAATTCAGCGCTTGGTCCCTGAATTTCCTTTAACTCTAAAACAAGCTATGAATTTTTAAAATCTTTCAATTTAGTCCCCAAATTTCACCAAATTACTTAATTAAAACCTCAAATTACAAATATATTTTTTTTCAAATTTCCGGGTTATTACATTTCTCTCCCCTTTGACCCTCCTTTCAACTCTGATATACTCGTCGTCCGACCTCTGATCAACGAACCGAAACCACCATCGTGTTCGTTGTCAACCGATGTACAAAAACCCTCAAACCTTTTATCGTGAATCGTCGTCGTTCGTCGTTAATTTCAGTTGGAAATATCATCGATTTTAACTCGATTTCTGTTGATTTTTCGTCGATTCACGACGATCCGGCCATCCGTTTTTGACACATCACGCACTATCGTGTTCCTTGCATCGTTCCGCGTCCATCGGTGTCCTCCGTTTCTCCGTCGTCGTCGACGCGTGGAGGGTTCAGAAAGTCAAAGTTTTCGATGTTTCAAAATTGAGCTCTCCACAGTTCAAAATTTTGAATTGAGCTTGGTAAGTGTCTCAAAATGCCTTAAAATAATTTTTAGAAATTTTTCCGAGGTCGTATCACTGTTCACGCGTCGCACTCGTTGCCACTGCGCTAACGGGTGCTAATTTTGTAATTAATTTATGTTAGGGTGATATTTGTGTAAAACTCAGGTGTTAGTTTCATAAATATTTTTAAAAGGGTGTTAGTTTTGTAATTAATTTCTGTTAGGATGATAATTGTGTAAAACAGTTGACCGTTGACTGCCATTGACCACCTTTGACCAGAACTTTGACCGGTGTTGAACGGTCGTTGTCTTTTTTCGGGTACACATATCCTGACATTTTTCGACGTCCTGAGTTCGATTGTGCAGTCCGTTTTTTAAAATTTAGACCCAAAAGCCTCAAAATTGCCATTCAAACTCGTTAACTTTGACCGAAAAGTTAAAATTTTCGAAAAGTCATCTTTTATGTTTTTCGACGTTCTGAATCTGTATTTGAAGGCCGTTTCTTTAAATTCAAACCGGTAAGCTGTTTTAACTGATTTATCACCCGATTCGATCCGTTTTTCGAAATTAAGCTCTATTTTTTTATGTAATTTCTGTTGATATGCATCTGAGGAATTATTGGAAGATGATTTCAAGATCGAGGGCGTTCGAATGTAATTTATATGGTCAATCAGTATGGCACGAAAAACGAAGTAATACTTTACTAACTCTTTATGCTTTATGGAACATATTGATATTGGTAAATGCATGAATAAGATAATGTTGGTCACTTATGTGGAGTTAATTAATGAAGTTCTACACTCTATACGAATGCGGTAAAAAGTAAGTAACTGAATATGGTTCAGATGACTATTATAAGAAATTAGAGGACAATTGGAATTAAATTACAAGTTTTGGAATTAAGTGATAAAGGAATCAGCCATGAATATGTAGATTATAATTTATCTCATTAAAGGTACTTAGATGATAAATTATGAGAACATTTCGATTAGGTAAAATTACAAAAATACCCCTATGTTGTAAAATGATAAGTTATCCCTAGAAGTTGATTAATAACTCTGAAAATGCATACTGATCTGATAAATTTACAGATGTGCATAAGAAATGCTAGTTTTGCTTGGAAAATTTGGATAACAAGTTTTTAACCCCAAGAGGGTTTGTACAAGATATTAGAAGTCTGTTAAGGAATCATTTCAAGAAAAGAGAATGTTCGGGAAAGTAATTGACCATAGGATCTCTAAATTATAATTATTTTTGTTAAGAGTTAATACCGAAATTATTTGGTTAAGAAATTACAAAAATACCCTTAAAAGGTAAAAATAGTTCGAGTTTACTCCGAATGGGAAAGTAACATGAGAATTTGTACTTAAACGGAAAAATTATTGATTTGATTGTTTAGATCCTACC